GATTCCTCAGAGTGTTTAGAACAATAAATCGGTCATCAACTGCTGTTGTCACTCGTCTTCTACCGAAACCTTGCCGCCTAGTGAAATTTCCTGTTTCCACATATTGGTTCCAGGCATCCTGAACTGTTGTTCAGGGTACACCCAACGTATGGGCAACGTATTGCTGACTTTTGCCATCCTCAATTAAAGTAACAATAGCCGCAACATCAGTTACTGACAACGGGATTGCTATTATGTTAAAAGACTGCAAAAATCTTTAACAACTGTCAATTTACTATTCGAAACAAATGACATACGCTACCTAGCGCGCCACCTTAGCTTTTTTATGCTTGTTTGTCTTGTTCTTACAGGCGTTCGCTTTAAAATACTGCATCTTCGTTAGTAATAGAGATAATAGAGTGAATAAAAAAACAAGATGTTCAGAAAAGATTGGGCTACCGTGTGATTCCAGTTAACACTATCTGCTGTAGCAGTTGCACCCCACAGGGTATTACAAATTTCGAGAAACAAAAGTTTTTCTCATTCTTGCAACCCGTATATGCTCAAATTAAAATCTAAATGAAAATTTCTATCGTAGGATTATTACCGAAGAATCAACCTTTCGATCAAAAAAACAACCATCAAAATCGAATGCGCGGTTCGCGAGAAAGCCAGCTTTGAAGTTTTGGCTAATTTATAGTGGCCGGTTTTTTTTGCCGGTCAGTTTATTTGTCACTCAAACAAGTTTTGATTGACAGACTTTCTTTGAGTGAAGAAAGACGTTTCGATGACTTACTGCCAAATTCTCAAATGGGTGATCAAAAGCCGTCAGAATTTTATAGATCCATGTTGGATACTGCCGGCCGTTCACAGGTGGTCAGCAGAGAATTAGTATTGAGGCTTTGGCAAAAGAAAATTCCGAAAGTGATATCAGTTGCTTTGTTATCTTCTAGCAAAAATGATATTACTGACCTTTTAGTCAATTGCGGACAAAATATGGGAAGCTCTACAACTTTCATCCAATCCAACTTATTCATTCGAAATTAACAAAATTTCATCTAGTTAATCTCTCGCGACTCATTCCCAAGAAGATATAACATCTCTTCAAAATGTTTCGGTAACTATTCAAACGACTTTCGTTTCTAGAAGATAAAATATCTTTGGTAAATTTTAAACATGATGATGACAATGTGAACACTCTACCACAATGCAGTTGCCATTACTCCAGAAGTAGATCGCTCTCTTCATCCCAACATTCGCGTGGTAGGTCGAGTTCTTCTGCGCCTTCTAATATATGTTGGTATCACCATAAATTCGCTGATACGGCGGAGAAATGCCAAGGATCGTGGTGTAAATTTTCCACACCTTTCAACAATAAAACAAATAATTTGTCCCACCAAAAAAAACTAATATCCAGTTTCAATAGAAAACCATCTTTTTCCAAATTCAAAATTTCGCCAAAATGGCAATCCCAATTTTCGATCAATCCTGTACGTTCGCGTCTTTTCATTTTTGACAACCAAAATAATTTAAATTTTTTAATTGACACTGGAGCCGATGTTTCTGTATTACCTTTTAAATTTTATTCAAATCGACGACAAGACACCATTTCTTCGGTTTCCGCTGCCAATGGTACAATATTTAAAATCTACGGCAAAAAACAACTAACACTTTCATTAAATCTAAGAAGGAATTTTCCTTTCATTTTTACCATCGCCAATGTTAAAAACCCAATCATTGGCGCTGATTTCCATCATAAATTCAATCTTTTAGTTGATATTAAAAACAAGCGATTAGTTGATTCAACAACAAAATTATTTTCAATCGGTTCTATTGTCAATACTAATACAACTTACTTCTTACAACATCTCTATTCAACCTTCGAAATGTGAATTTGGTGTAACTTCTCTAGATTTTCTAAGTCATCACATTTCTGCCGAAGGAATCCGACCTTCTCAGTTCAGGATTACCGCAATTTCTGAATTTCCAACTCCAACAATATTGAAACAATTGCAAAGGTTTTTAGGAATGAAACATTTCTATCATAGGTTTATTCCTAACATTTCCAACATTTTGGGTCCTCTATATAATCTATCGAATACCCTTTATTCCAAACAAACAGAAATTAATATCAACATGGTCGACTGAAGATCTAAGAAAGAACTAGATAAATCATCCATCACCACAAGCTACGTTTTCTCTAACAACGGATGCCTCAAATGCTGCCATGGGAGCAGTTCTTGCTCAAATTTCAGACAACGAAACACAACCTTTAGCTTTCTTTTCTAAAAAATTAACTCCAAGCCAGATTAATTATTCAACTTTTGACAGAGAGCTTTTAGCGATTTATTCCGCGATAAAGTTCTTTAAACATTTTCTGCATGGAAATCAATTCGTTGTTTTCACCGATCATAAACCTTTAATTAATTCAATATTTTCAAAAACCGAAAAAACTCCTCGACAAATTCGTTATCTGAGTTATATCACCCAGTTCACATCTGAACTTAAATATATTAAAGGAGATTCGAACGTTGTGGCAGATACTTCGTCACGCGTCAATGTTGAATCCCTTAATTCCGATTGTCCAGATTTAAAATCTATTAAAATTGCTCAAGACCAGGATATACAATTAACGCACTTACTCAACAAACATTTACACAATTTTCAGTTATTTCAGCAAAAAAATCCAAGATTCAGATTTTAAATTTTCGTGCGAAATATCTTCACAATTATCAAGAATTTACGTGCCAGACAAATTTAGAAAAATCATTTTCAACCAATTTCACAATATTTCACATTCCGGAATACGCGCAACTGTTAATAACCTTAAATCCCGTTTCTATTGGCCACATATGTGAAAAGATATTCAATTGTGAACAAAGACATGCCAACGAGCCAAAGTGAACAAGCATACAAAATCACCTATCCAAAAAATCCCTATACCAAGGGGCAGATTTGAACACGTTCATATCGACTTAGTCGATGGCCCCCTTATACCTTCTAAAGGCTATTCGTACTTACTCACTGCAATTGACCGCTTCAGTCGCTGGCCGGAAGCATTTCCGTTCAAAGATATCGCCGCTTCAACGATAGCCGACACTCTCTTTCGCAATTATTTTTCTAGGTTCGGAATCACGCATGACCAAGGTAAACAGTTTGAATTTTCGTTATTTTCGAAGTTTAACAAACATTTTAGGTACACCAGATCCACACATCCTCTTTCCATCCGCAAAGTAATGGCATTTTGGAGAGATTCCATCGAACTCTCAAAACCGCCTTAATTGCCAGAGGTAGCAAGAGCAACTGGTAGGATGATCTTCCCGTCGTTCTTTTAGGCCTCCGATCTTCTTTTAAGGAAGACCTCGGCTGTTCCTCTGCCGAACTTGTTTACGGCCAACTTTCCCGACTACCTGGTGATTTCTTTATAAAGTCACAACATTCGTTAGAGACGGAACCCATTTTGCAGAATTTGCGTGAAAACTTTTATCAAATTACCTAAGTTCCTATGTTACCTTATTATTGATATTTTGATGTAAAATCATTCCATTACAAACTTTCATCGAGATAACACGTCCGTCTTTGTATTTTAATTTTAAAAAGAGTTTTATTGTATTACTACTAACTCTTTAGAGTTCGACAAAACTAAAGTGCTAGCAAGAACCGGATATATTTCCAAAGCATGACGAGAGAGGCGATAGAGATTCGTCGACATGGAGACAACATGAATAGAGAAGACGGTTGGGAACTCAGCCGCACATGGAAGATGCTAGTAAACTCAACGCGAATATTATCTCTATTATTATCTACTGCAAATTGACCAAGCTGTTCATTCCAACACTTTGGTGCCTGCATTAAGTCCATACAATGCCTTGTTCAATTTCAATACTTTTCCTTTTTCCTGGTTTATTCCTTCTGGTATGATTATAAATACATTGTTAGTTAGTTTACCATTTAAAAATGCTGGTATATCTAACAATCATAATTAAATCGGCAGTTGTAAAAAGGAGTTATGTAGCAAAATGTATTATACTTGACTTAAAGACTAATAAAAATATCGCCGTTCTAGATGTAATTGTGTTAATTTATAAAATTTAAACTTTTTAACGTGTATTTTTAAATAAGTCGCGTATATGTGCAACAAAGATGAATCCAATATGTTGATAAAATTAATTATAATTATACAGGGTTTTCCAATAAGGGCCGTTAATAGTGGAAAATAACATTAGGCAAATGACCACCACGACCACGCTTACAGGACAATATCCTTTCCATGAAATTTTCCATAACCAAATTGCAAAGTGGCTGCCCTATGTCCTCAATAGCCTTACGAATTCCATCTTTGAGGTCTTGAATCGACGCTGGGCTGTTGGCGTACACCTTCTCTTTCACGTGGCCCCAAAGGAAGAAGTCGCAAGGTGTTAAATCACAAGATCTCGGTGGCCAATTGTGATCACCTCTTCGAGAGATAACACGGTCCGGAAACTTTTCCCGTAAAAGATCAATGGTTTCGTTGCTTGTATGGTGTTACGGGGGATGGATTGCGCCGAAGAAGAAACAACAGTTGTTGAATAAAACGAAATAATTTATTTACAAAATATGTACAAAAAAAAACCCTCAAAGGTTTTTTTTAAGACGAAAGGGGTCGTCTTCGAATTGGCGGTTGAAGTGCTGGCTTGTTGTCGCTGTTATCGTTGTCGCTGCTGTTGTCGCTGTTGTTGTCGCTTCGGAGTTCGGTTGGAATTTACCGCTGATGGAAACCCGGCCGCCTTAAATAGGCGCCCTTGGGTAAAACCCTATCAACCGGGCGTTGTGGTTGGTTGGCGACCGTCCGATCCGTAGGTAGGGTTGACGACCAATGGCCAAGCAGATCGAACGGCGCTCAATTCGTACTTGGTGACACCCCCTCCCTCAAGGCGCTGGTTCGGGCTGCGCAGGTGGGTGTCGATGTGGTGGAGGAGCCAGACGTAGGTCGTTGATGTGGACTTTGCTGGGCTCTGCAGTCTGGTGTCTGCGGATCCAGTACGTTGTAGGTCCGGCCTCCTCTATAACCATGTGGGGTCCTATCCAACGAGGACCAAACGGCGTCGCTACATGAGCCCGCTCCATTACGAGCTGCCTTGGCAGGAACCGCCTGGGTGGTGGTACAGCCCCAGCGTATCGCTGGCGGTATCGGTGCTCGTTCCTGTGCGCTCGTCTTCTTCTCTCGGCCCGTCCTGCCGCTGGCTGTTGACCATCTTGGGGGCCCTCAAGAAACCATTCCCCAGGTCGCGGTAACTCGTATCCCAACAGCAGGGCGGCGGGGGTTTCTCTTGTCGCCGCGTTGCGCCGTGACCGAACGTTGAATAGAGCCCGATTGATGTGTCGATCCCAGGTCGTTGGATTTATGCCCTGGAGTTGGATCCGTATGCATTTCTTTATTTCTTGAATCCTCCTCTCCGCAGGATTGGCCTGAGGGTGGTATATCGGCGTCGTCCAGTGGTGGCACCCCCAACGTCTCAGCGCGGAGTCCCAGTTGGCGCTGGTAAACTGAGGCCCGTTGTCGGATAAAATGGCCCTTGGATAACCATACCGGGGAAACACCTCACTCTCCAGGATATTTATGATTTTCGGAGCGCTGCTGGTAGCGGCCGGAAACGCCTCCACCCATCGACTGAACAGGTCGGTGACAACGAACACAAACCTGTTGTTATCTCGTGTTTTCACGTATGGGCCCATGAGGTCTACTGCCAAAACTTCCCATGGTTGTGTGGGCGCTCGTGGTCGTAATGGAGCCCGTTCCTGTAGGGGTCCCCGCTTGAGCGATGAGCAGGCCCAGCAATCCCGGACGTGTCTGGCCACGTCTTCCTCTACGCCGAGCCACCAGTATTTCCTCAGGATGACCCTCGTGGTTTCCTCAGCTCCGGGATGGCCTG